CTTTATGGAAACAATTTCTGCAGGTGCAATTTAGTCAGTAACTTTAAAAAGAATGTGACCCTTGAGGCATAATTGTCAAAGTATGACTTTGAAGTTGGTTGTTCTTGGTCTACATTTTACATGCAATATTTCCAAATAATTAAAGTAACTAAATTAACTAGCAACTCCATGTAGGGGAAATAAGATCATAATCTCCATTCAGTCATTTTAGGTTCTATGTGCACACAAAACTAATTTCTGTCTCATATCTGAGACCTCTATCACATTTGAAACTCAATTTTCTCTTAGGTAAGGATATACAATGCAACTTTAGCTAAGGGATCAAAATTAGAGGGAAAATATTTAAAATGCAAATTCAGGATCACGGTACTAATATGAAAATAATGTCTTTGCCACATCACAACCCTTCCTGGCGTTTCTACAGATGCATCAATTCTTCACAGATTAGATGTGCTTTCTTTATATCTACATCCCTATGAGATTAAAAAGAAAGCCTTTCATTTTCATGCTGCCAATGCACTGAATTTGTTTTCAAATGGCAGCAAAGGTGGTTATAACTGTAAGCTTCTGATAAAGGAAACTTCAGCACAGTTTTCAGACATCAAAATTTGCAGCATATAAAAGCATTCCAAATCCAAGCTGGTGGTTAATCACTCTACAAAAAGGTAGATTTTTGACATGAAGCTTAAAAGATACAAATGGAGAATAGCAACTTGAATGCCACCCAGCTCAAGCTGAGGACTAATACAAATACAGCTCACGTCCACCGGTCAGCCTGCCGGCAGGAGACAACACCACACGGTGTGCCGGCCAAGGCCCTCTCTGCAAGACCCCATTCTGCTGCGGTCTGGGTTGGGGGAATAAAACTGTTAGAAAAATAATCTGACTTTTTAAAGCCTTTGGAAAGAATGTTATATTATCCTTTCCTCCACACAGAGGTGGACGGCTTGCAGAAATGAGGGTAAGGTATGTGAGGACATAGCAAACAGGTGGGTATCAGGCGTGGTGATTTTACAAGTTTTATTCTCTTGGATGTTTTCAAGTATCACTACCACCTATCTGCAGCAGCAGCCCAGACTGATGAAGATACTGCATATTTATTCCTTTTGCTCTATTTTAAAACCCTCTTAAAACATTGATAGCGCACACAAAATCACCCAGAAACAGTGTCCCTGCTTTGCACATCTCAAAATGCCCCATCAAGGGTCAGAGATGGAACTTATTTCCAGGACAGAATTAATACCAAGAAAGGCTACCTAAGCTTTTCTCATTTGTGTGAGAAGCTAGTTGTTTGACATAATAACACACGGAAAGCTTAAAAAAAAACAAAAAAAAACATAACACAGACTGATTACATATAACATTTAGAAACACATTTTAATGTACGGCTGTCTTTGGCAAAATAGAATCAAGAACAGCAAATAGAAGGTCTAACTAATTTAGAATTGAAAGGAAAATATGATCTGTTCGCCCTATTTTGAGTTGTTCGAATATGTGCTTTCGGTACAAAGGGGAAAAAATGCATGCATCTTGACAAATCAACAATAAACTCAGTCTTAATCAAAGATTTTAAAATTTATTACTGCATATATTCCTCTTACTCCCTGTTCCCTTCCATTTTAACTGACAAAAAGAAAGGGACACAGTACAACAAAAACCTGGTTAACAAAAATACACATCTATCTTCTTAGCTTCTGGGCACAGAAGTAAATTTATGACAAATTTAACACTAGCCTCAGAGTAACTAAGCCCAATTATAATTATCTTGCTGAGAAGAGAAATTAATTAAACATCCCAGTGATAAAGACCCCACAACAAACCCAGAGGAAACACACAATTGGAGGACAGGAGCTTCAAATAAAGGAAGAGAAAGGCAATATTTAGCCCATCTGTTGGGACAGTAATGGGACAAGGTTATCTTTTCAAGAGAGCATGGAGTGCATTACGCTAGAAATGAGACTACCTGGCTGGCAAAGTCAGTTGAGTCCCTAATTCTCCTCTTCAACTTGGTGATTTGCTAATGTGAAACACATGTCTCCCTTTTGCACCAAGTTCAAATGACTCTGGAATTCTAACAGTGCAGCTCAGTGACTGAACCAGAACAAGGGGAGAACTTGTCAGGATTTAAGAGCTTTCAGCAAAGCCCTTCAATTGCAGCCAGCACCCTATTCCACGGAAGGATATCAATTATAGATAGTGACTTGCTTTAGCAGGCAGTCGGGACTGTCAGACATTAGATAGACAACCATGAAGAATCATGAATCTTTCTATTAACTGTAAGAGGGGCAAAAAGAATGGGTCATGGCTATAAATAAGGCACAGCATCAGAATGGTTTAACACCTTGCCTCTTGGTTGTATGTAGCATGAGAATTCAACTGATTCACAAAATGTCTTCTCTCCCAGGAAAGTCACAGTTAATGCTCCATCTGTTTCCAAAAAAGTAGATTTTGCAACTGGTATTTTTTCCATTTGCCACCAAAATAATTAGGCAAGTCTGAAGCAGCTAGTCATTCATTCAACAAAAAATAATGTCTCTATTTTATACCAGAACACCACCAATGCTGCTACACACACCTGTGAGTAGGGCTGGTACTGCTATCTCCTACAAAGTAAATTCAATTTAAGTGGACAAACTCAGAATGTCCACACTTCAGACAATGAGTAAAAAGGTAAAAAGAAGGTGATATAAATCAGGTCCTTTATCTATGTGATTGCAAATCACAATATTAATTTACTTAAATAATATATCCCAGACTAAAATTAGTATCACAAAAGTAGTCTACTGAATTTTCTATGACTTTCTACTAGCTGATTTGGAATTTTTAAAATTCCATTGCACAGGTATGTATTCACATATCTTAAAGATCATGTTGATTATACATATAGTATGGTGATCATTTAGCTGGCAGAGTAAGCAGCCTTACCTTGAAATTACTCAGATCTCTCTGAGTAATCATTATGATTACTTGAAACCTTTTGAAACTGAGATTACATACAGATACCTGCAACAGTTGCTTTTATCAAAAGCACCTGCATTAAGTAGGACTCAAAAAAGGTTATTACCACACTCCCAAAATGTTCCCTGGGTACCTGAGTCTGCTCTCTAACGAGAGGTACGAGATGTAGGCTTAGAATAAGCACTTTTTCATTCCCATGTTACAGTTCTGACCACAGAACTCCTTAAAAACGGCAATGACTTATCCACAGAAAATGCATCATGACATGGCATGACCTCTCAGCAGGCCATTTAAAAAGCAAATAGCAAAGTCAACAGCTCTTTATGATGACAGCTTTTATAGAAGCAATTCTCCCCAGTTTAGTTATTCACTCATTATACCACTCAGGGTACTCTTAGCATGTTCCACTCTTTTGAGACTAAGTCCCTATACTTAAAAAAAAAAAAAAAAAAAAAAAGCCAGTTTTGTTTTTTTTTTGTCCACCTTAGTCTTATGGTGTCTGTGGTTTCCATTAAAACAGCCAGAAAGAATAAAGAGCCATTAAGTCAGTCTTGGCTTAAAAATAACACTTGCATCAAATTAAGTTCATGGAAAAATCTGGAACTACACCTTAATTAAAAACATTTGACTTCTAGTTTCTTGTTCTGTTGAGAAATCTATAATTTTTCCCATACAATTACAAGGAGAAATGATTAAAAAAAGAAATGGGGGGGGGGCTGCTAATGCCATGTTAACTCCCCAAAGCATTCTGTATATAATGGATCTGCAAACCTGGCAAAGTATATTTAACACTGAATGTAACTGCAGTGTGTAGAACATACTACATAGGATGGGACAAATTATAGAAGACACTCTTCAAAAGCTCATATAGCTACGAACATGTGGAATTTGTGATGAATTTTGTAATTCATCACATCATTGAATTTTTGGTGTTTAAATAGAGGAGCATTGTCAAGAATATGGGTTATTTAAACAGAAAGTGCTACTATAAGGAAGAAAACGGAGTGAGTTGAGTTTGTGTATGGGCTGTATGTGTGTATACGATGTGGGGAGAGGCCAATCACCACAAAACACCTGATTTTCTGTCACACTTAAGACTTATAAAAATGCCACACTTGGCAAGCATTCCTTATTTGTTTAATGGGCTCCTGTGCTTCCACACTGAGCATGTGAACTAGAGCTTGCTTTTTATTCTTAAATATCTAAATGCCCTTCCATCTCAGTTGTCCCTAGACTCACTTACCATGGAGACTCCACTAACCTAAGAGAAAATAAAGGGTGAAATGAAGCTCTGGTAAAGGAAAGTGGCTCCTGAGGGAGGCACAGGTATACAGGGGCGGGAATGATTACAGCATGTTCAGAAATCATACAAAGGAGCACAAGAGAAAGACTCTTAAATCTGGTGCAGGAGAAAAGAGTGGTTCTCAATTATTCTACCAGCAGTTTTCAAAACTGTACATCATTAAGCAGACTTATAAAAAACGTACAACTTTTCCATGGAACTATTTGCAAGGGTTACATGGGTTGACCTCAAGAAACTGTGGTAATAATTTACCCCCAGCATCTTCATGTAGAAGACCAACTGTTGCCTAAAATAATAGAAGAGATTTTAGATGTTGAGTGGCTACAAGAGAAAGTAGAACAAAAACCAGGAATCCCCCACTTCAATATTTTCTATTGTTACTGGGTCTTGGAAAGGAGAATCAAACTTGGTTAAAAGGTTAATAATAATTCATGTCCAGCTTACTATTACTCAATAACCATCAAAGTCGCTAACTCAAAATGGTGTTTTCTGGCTTACAGGATCAGAGTCATTACACTCTCTATTGAAGACTTTATTGAATTTTACACTAAGCTTTAGCTGACTGAACAGGTCAAGCACCGTAACTCAGAGTTTTCTTTATTCTCAGAAAGTCATAAAGCCCTCTCCAGTTTGCAACGCTGCTAGCTAAGAAACTTGACTCAGTGCAGGGTCAGGGAAGCTGACCCTGTGGAAAAGGTCACATAGTTGTAAAGCCGGGTCCCAAGCTCCATTCACTTACGTGCACCAGCTGCTCCTGGGTGTCAAACTCCCTGGTGCAGCCTTCCCAGTGGCAGTTTGTCTCATAGATTACTTCAGGCTCCTGTTTGCTTTCATCTTTGTCCCCTTCCTCCTTGACCAGTGTTGTTCCTTCAGGCTGTTCCTGAAAGGCAGAGGGAGGGGAGGGGGAGGAAAGAGAGAGGTACAATTCAGACATAATAGGAGGCAATGCAGGAAGAGAACATAAAAACCTGGCAGAGCTTCCTCTTCATCATAATGCAACTTTTCACTGAAAAGAAAATGGAGCACAGGTTTTGTGAAATGTATAGAGACCTTTGTGCACTTTTATTTTTTCCAGATTTACCAAACATATCCTCTTCAGAGATGTTTAACTTGTGTTTTAAGAAAACAGCCTAAGCCATAATGAAGATAATAAGATGTTGAGACCAAACTTTGCTATCTTGTATACAAAACTGAAAACATTTTAACTAAAATGTCACCCCATGAGAGAAGCAAGGAAACTAGATGATCTCAAGGTCATTACTAGGTCATTACTCAAGGCTGGTCTTTTCTCTTCCAGCTCAATTCTTCTTACTATAATAACTGGTTGATTTTCATATTTGGAGGCCAGGGAAATGGCTTACTGGGGATTCTTATTCTGTTTTCCTTACTGTTGCAGGCTGAGGAAGCACTCTGTGAATTTTAGAAAAATAATGACCTCCTACTTTAACTTCTTTCTCTAAGGATGCAATCATTGCTCAAGAACCACAGCATCTAGATCATGGCAGAAGTCTTTTTTTTTTTTTTTTTAAATCTTCTAAGGAGGCCTCACAGCAATTAAAACACAAAGAATCCCCGGAATACTAGGGGATAATTAGGTGTGTAGACTCAGCTTCTAATCTGGGGCTAGATGACAAAAAACACAGACAAGGGCTTACGCAGACCAGCAGAGTTGGTGACTAGCAAAACCCAAGAAGATGAATTTAAGAACACAGCACTCTCATCCATTCATACTCCAAGTTCTTGTTATGAGGGAAATTCGGGCTAAGACAGCTGATGTTTAAGCTAATGCATTTCGCTTCATGGGTATCCAAACCCTTCAATCTCAAGAGTAAACGAGCTCCTGCCTAGGTCCTGCACAGGGGCCCTATAACACAGGTTTGTGGCATGATCTACACAGTTTTAAACTGAGGCTTAGAGGTCTAATGGGTAAAAGCAGAGACCCAACTGAAGTTCTATTTTCTTATTTCAGGATTCTCAGTAAAAGACCAGAGTCTAAGCAGCCTTAGGTTAGGAGAGCTGTGCTTTGACCCTTCTGGGCTGTCCAGGCTCCCTGATATACACAATGGAATATTACTCAATCAAATAAATAAATAAATAAACTCATGCCATATGTGGAAACATGGATAGAGCTGGAAGGGATCATGCTCAGTGAAGTAATTCAGAAAGAAATGGAAAAATACTTGATGGCTTCCACTCATAGCAGGAGTATAAGGGTTCAGGAGGAAAACAACAAAAAAATTCAAGCAATTATAATAAAGTAAAAACAAAAAACAACAAACAACTATAAACAAGAGACATTTTACTGGGGTAGAGAGGGGAATAGGATTAAAACTGGGATGGGAAGAATACACAGGAATATGGTGATAGCACACAGATGAAGTGGTGGTGGGAAGTCTACGAGATTACAACTGAGATGAAAACATGCACAAAATGAAGAATGATGTAAACAAAATACATATTTAAATAAAAGGAAAAAAAAGGGTTTTTCAAGGAAAAAAAAAGTGGCAAGATAAGAGACATGAAAAATTGAGTCCTCTCAGGTATATCACTAACTCTGCCAGGCAGGTTTGATGCCAGGAACTCAGTATTTCAGGTACAAGATCAGGGGTGAGGACTTAAGTCTGGTCACATCTGCCTCCATAACAAATAAAACCGATTGTTTATGAACTATAGTTTGTACCCCGAACAGCTTCCTGCATGTCTTGTGCTTGTTGCTGAGCTAGAGAAACAAACTGAAATAAGTCCTTTGGCCATGGCCAAGAACACAGGGCAGGAAGCCCAGGGCCTCACCTGCTGGCCCCGTGGAACGGGGCTGGGGAGGTCCTCGTCGGGTTTGATCTTGGACCGCTTGTTGTGCACCAGATCCCCGGTGCTGCTCACTGCAGACTCACTCGTGGGCTTGTGCTGGTCACGTGTACGGGGCAAGGAAAGAAATGAGATGTCAATCAGGTTTCCTGGCAAAGGCAGGCAGCTCGAAAGAAGGAAGCGACTTTGGTGCTAAGGTCTGATAGTTCTTGAAAATACCCATCACCGAGTTCAGAAAATGTTTTCAAAGCAAGAAAATACATACATGATGTAGTTTGTTGGTTTTGCCTTATGAATGTAAAGCCCCTGTGCTTTTATAAAGCTGGAAGAAAAAAGCTGGGGGCCTAGGCTTTTACAAGCTTCACTGGTATGTTCCAAAGAGCAAAGTGGTAAGGTAAACAAGATACAACAAGAACTGCATGCAAAGTTCTTTAATTAAGAACATTCAGATTTCTCCCCCTGCACATGTCAGTGTGAAGATTACAACAGAGGGCACAGTGGTTATATTCTTTTTGTTAGTAGTTATATTCTTACTGTGAAGCATCACATGATTCTAAGAGCCAGGGGACAGTGACCAAATGAGAGCAACACATTCAGGCAACGCATTTAATCGAGTGGATTTATAGACAGCCCAGCTCAGAGTGAAGCTTTATCAAGTGGCCTGCTTTTCCACTGAGGATAAAATGACTCTGGCAGAGCGGCTGTTGTTTAATGAGGAGCACATACATCACACGATGGGAAAAGTGATGATGGGAAGCTGTGAGGGCCCTAGTACACAGTGGTGCAGACCCTCCACGTTTAACCATGCCAGACAAGCTCGCTGGCTGTCTCACCTGTGAGGACTCGGATGGACCGGAGTTGACCTGCACCGGGTTAAGAACTGCAGGGATCCCTGGAATAGGCCTCTGTGTTGGAAAAGTCGGGGCAGGGTGGATGAGCGGAGGACTGTGTCCAAAGGCAGAACCTAAGCTCTGTTGCCGGCTTAAGATTTGCTGATGCATATGGAGAGACACTGGTGCTGAAGGGTAGGTGAAGCTCAAGGCAGGGCTGCGTGTGGGGAAATACAGAATAAACACATCACTTACAAGCAAGGCAGAACGTTGCAAATGCATGCTGGCCCCTGTGGACCAAGTTTTACCAACCCCAACTCATGTCGGATCCATCGGTTTAAATTAGACAGTAAAAACAATTACCGATGAAATCTTGAAAACTTGCAAGAGAAAGATAATGACCAAGACAAGATGGCATGTGTGTGTACATACACACAAACCTGAATGGAATGGAAACAAAAGGCATCAGTTCAATAACGACTATTTATTGCAATAACAAACTTTATATAAAAAAGAGAATGGGTGACTGCATGCTTTATAGTACTTTTATTGGCTCCCCGTTCCATATGTTCCTGTGCATGGAACAATTCCTTTAATCTCAGCTCACACTGCGCACCTTCATATGTCTCCGGATCTTATTACAAGAGGAAAGAAAATCAATTGGTTAAATGTGTTTTGAACACCATGCTTGTCATATCACTCATTTGTTTGTAAAGATGGAAAGCTTGGTTCATCCAGAATGCCACCTAAAGAATTTCCATCAGTGCCGTCTGGTTACAGAAGCTGATGGATTAACCTCTCCCAGCCGAAATCAGTGATCAATGTGCTTCGATGGAGGAATATTCCAATGGGAGAGCACAGCTCTCTCTTCCAGCTAAACAGCATTAAATGTCTATTAAAGCCCATTATACATGCTAATGCCTGTCACCACTTCATTATGCCACAGGATTTCCCAGGCTACCGAAGTTCTGAGGAAGCGCACTATTACCTCAAGATTTATCGACTGTAGGCAGTGCCAAATCTTTCTTTGTGCCAGTATAGTTTAGGAATCAAATCCTCTTAAAAGAATGAAGTGCTCTTAAGGAATTTGCCAATGGCTTAAAAGTGCATGAAAAATGATAATTGCATTCATGAAAATTTCTTTCTTAAAAATAATCATTTAAAAGGTGATATATATTTTCCTCATCTTGCTGTGTAATACCCAGAAAGAATCAGAGTTTCTTGTAATGTCAAAGGTAGAATTCATGAAAATTTCCAATCTAGTAGGTTAATTACTATTGCCTTTAAGCGCATTAACTGAGAATATAATAATTATAATAACAAAATCAAACCATTTCAACAACTTTAAGTAATAATTCTGAAGCTATACTCTGTTCATTAATGGGACTACACATTTTGCCTATTTGATACAATCCATAAAGGCAGCTTCAATGGGATTACATTACTATTATTCCTTCAGAGAACCTTGCATTACAATAGCTTGCCCATTTAAGACTGAATATCATTAAGAATACCCTAGGAGAATTTCACCAGGCGTGGAGGCACTCCTTTCATTCTGTATTGTATTTCTTTAATAAAAGAACGCAGAAACATGGTGAAAACAGTCATTGTTCACAGTAAGTTAGAGAGAAATCAGTAATAATATTCCGTTTCTGCAGCGCTATAGTTTTCTGCCAGTGTTTCCGAAAGTAACCATGAATGATTACAGCAAGACTTAGCGAAGGTAGCTGTGTGGATGATTGATAGGGCATTAATCAAAAGATGCATATCTGCCTCAGAATTTGTTCACAAGCTTTCTTCTAATAGCTGATTTCATGTTCACTGAGCTCTATGCCAGTTTGTCCAATTTATTTTTCAGTGTACAAGCCATTCATCAAAAACCACAATGATTTAACACACCCCCCTTTTCCATTTGGTGAATGAATATTACTAGATGTAACCACCTTATTCTGTTCATTAAAAAAAAAAAGAAAGAAAGAAAGAAAAAAGAAAAAGAAAAGGCCCCACTAGACACATATTTACAATGTGGCACATCTTTATAGGATCCTCCACACACCTTTCCAGAACTGCATGAACCTGTAGGTTTTGGAAGGGGTCCCTCAGGTCATTGACAGTTCTGATCCCGGGAGGCTCAGTATTTGGGTGCTCAAAAAGTCAGGAGCTACCCAATTAAGAATTAAGACATTTCAGAAAGCAGAAGAAGCCCTCAGTTGTTGATATAAGGAATTTACAGGTGACAAGAGCCTAACAGAGTAGGTCCATTTTTACTTTTAAAGAGATGAAGGTGAGAAGACAGAGGAAGGTTCCACATTGTACCTGCCTCAGGTGTTTCTCTCTGAATTGAACAGACATGGCAAGGAGCTGTGAAAGTTTTCAGTGCATTTGACAAAAATGCCCTTTCAGGGGTTTTTGCTGTTGTTGTTGTTGAGGAACAAAAAGACATGAAGGAATATTTTCTAAATATCAACTATTAAACTGTGAGTGATATGAGAACAAAAAAAAAAATAATAATGATTCTCAGCCTTCACTGCTTATCCACAATGAGCCCTTAAGGAAATGCTCTCTCCTCCATGGGCAGAGCTGAATGATGCTCAGAGCACACAAGTTACAAAGCTGCTCTAGAAGTGCTTGGCTTGGTCATAGCACTAGCGTGCAGATTCAGGAGCCAAGGTTCCTTTGCTCGTGAAACTGCCAGTAGACTTCTCAGGAAGCTTTGGAGGAAGAGTCAGGGGTTGGACAATGACCACAGCAAGTAGACAGCAGGAACAATGACCCTTTGTGGTCACTTTGCTTGTCAGTAAATGAGAGTCATCCCTGATCTTAGCATGGTTGCCTCGATATTGCCACTGGACCCCACCTTAAATGTCACATTGTCAGATAGGGAGGGTTCTTGAGATCCTCTGATGCTCCCATCAAAATGAATTTCTTTTACAGCTTCTCACCAACCATTCTCTACTGTTTGATAATTCTTAACACAGCACAGGACATTTTTCTGAAACCATATTCTCTCATTCCCTCTGGCATACCAGGTCCAAAGAGAGCTTGGCCCTGGTCTATCTTATTCTCTCCTCACTGTCTGGTGCCAGAAACACTGCCTGCCACATAGCAGATACTGAATATTCTATCAATGAGTGACTGCACAGCCTTAATGGATTCACTTCTTACTGTTTGCACAACAAGTTCCCACAAAAAGTAGTGACTTAAAACAATCATCTTATCATCTTATAGCTCTGGGGTCAGAAGACTCAAGATGGGCTTCTGTAGCACCTAGGCACCTTGCCTGCTCCAGGTCCCAGGCTGCCTGCACCCTGAGCCCCTGCCTCGCCCTTCCAACCTTCTCCTCCAGCTCGAATTCTCACCCCACTGCCTGCCTCTAATATGGGCATTACAACCACACCTGGTCCACCTGAACAATCCAGGACAGCCTCCTCACCTCCAAGTCCTTAAGTTATTTATAGCTGCAAAGTTCCAGGTGCCATTTAAGGCCACATGTTCACAACTTCCAAAGATGGCCACAGGACACCTTTGAGGGCAATTATTCTGCTGACCACTGTCTAGCAATCATTGCCAAGAAAGAGGTGCTTTCCTCTGAAAACTCTACTTTTAATGTGTCCATGAACATCATTACTTAAACAAAGCTCATGTTTAAATTTACTTCTTTCTACATAACTTGAGCAGCTAAAACAGGCTTGCAAGTTATAGACGCCAAACTTTTTTAAAGTAAATTCATCAGAGAGCCCAAAAGAATCTCCCAAAAAGTTTGTGGATTCATCCCATAATTTCCTAGAAATAAAAAAACAAAACAAAACATCATTAATGTTGAAAAATTTTATGAATCACTTCTGTCTCCTCTGAAGAATGATGCAGTGTGGTCTGAAATCTACCTCAGTTTTATTATCTCAAAGTCATTACATTTCTGTTCACTCTCTTCTTCCCTATGGATCATTCAAAGGACATTAACTTTATATTCTGATTTCCAAACTATCTTCACTCAACATTCAATAAAATATAACTTAGAGGCCCTCCCTGGTGGCACAGTGGACTAACGCACAGCACTGCAAGCGAGCCACAGCCACATAAGTGTGAGTTCAATCCCTGGCCCCGGAGGTGACCACATGGCACGGCAGACCTCTCCTGTCTCGCCCACTGCTCCCCTCAGCAATGCACTTCATCGGTCTGTCTGTTTTGCTCCCCACTCTACCTCTGGTGAGTCCTTTCACCACCCCTGCTTCTCTGGCCTGTAGCCCAGTTCTGTATGCATAAATAAATCAATCTTTAAAAAAGTATCTAACTTAGAAAACTATTCTAACAGATTTTGTTTCTCTTCTAAGTGACTGTATAAAAGATAAAGCAATTGAAATACACAGAACATTTGTAAGTATGTGACTTTTAATGCTATCTATGTTTAAACGGTATTAATTGATTTATTATTATTTATTTATTTATTTTTTTTTTTTGAGTACTAGATGTTCCTCCCAAACAACATGGCGATACAATAACAGACCTCTTGAAATAAGGATCTAAAAATAAGTAGCATGGGGAAAAAAACAGAAATTCTAAGGTCATAAGTCTGAGGAATATGGACTCAACAGTCCCAGACATGTATCTGTTAATATGCAAATGTGCATTCCAAATGGCCAGTTTGCTAGAGTATTAAGAGAAACAGCTACAGACTAGTACTCTTGAAAAGCACTTTGAGAATAATGCTCCCAGAACAATAGTGAAAAGTCAGAATATACTAATTAGATGTTAATGTGCTCTTTATTTCTTTTAAAGAGCAGGAAAGAAGAAAATTTGGGATTTTAAGACCCTAACTGAAATGTGTGTGGTGTTCTGGCTCATCACAGGTTATTTCTATCCCTCGGAATAGATTTATGGTTATTTCTTAAGATAACAAAATATGCCATAGCATATTATTCCATGTATGTGAAGTTATTTTTTTGAGTCATTGTTTGGGTATGATATACATTTGGACATGGTGTTTGAAAAAGTTAGACATAATCAATTGCTTATTTTAATAAACAAATGGGTTTTTATGAATAAATATTTTTCTACATTGTGTTTTATGGAAGTTGAAATTATTAAGTAAATGTAAACAACCAGCACAGTATACAGATTTAAGATAGACATTTGCCTTTTTATCCCTGTATGCTGTTTCCACCCTGCCATCTCTATAATTATCAACCTGTGGTCATGCAAGGTACTATTCATATAGATTAACTCTCTGAAAACTAGAATTCTGTATCTACCACATAGAAACTTCCTTTAACAAAGAAGATTAGAATTTTAATTACTCATTAGAGAGCTCTTTATCTATTCATTGGCAAAATCCCTGTTGCGTGGATTCAAGGTGACTGGGTGTGGATGTGGAGTGGGGAACACAGGAGTAAGACGTGCTCAGCCTTCCACCTCCCAGTGCTTGAATTCTACTGAAGGAAAACAAACAACACGCTACAGTAAGCAAGTAAACATGAACATTTCAAAGAGCATTAAATGCTATCAACCTTTTGGAGAGTAATTATTGGACTGGATAGACATCATGGCATTCAGAAAAAAAGAAAAACAACAGAATGTGTCTTTAAACTGTCCAGCATTTTTAGAATTTTAGCAGGTATCATTATTCTGTGCAATATCAAAACCAGAAGCAGATCAGATAAGTATTAGAAAATATGTAAATGTGAAAGTCTGACGAATCTAGGTAAGTTAAAACTTCTGGCATTGATGCCCACCTAATTCACATGTATGTACAGATTTGCCTGCTGATGCATAAAGCCACAAAGCAAGTAAACACTGCACTTCCCAAATCACCGTGAGAAAGAAAGAGTGAGAGCTTGGTACTTATCCTTGGCACACAGCAGAGATTAAATGCATCCTGAATCTACATTCACTGTTATCCACCAGTCCTACCACGTACTAATCCTCAAGACAGTTTCTAGATCTTACAACATTAAGCTTAAAATAGAACAAGCAAGGTACCAACACTTCTTCAATAAAGGACTAGCCAACAGTGCTAACAGCATCATATTAGAAACTATAACCAAAATTTTCTAAACTATCTCCACAAATAGAAGATGAACTTCTAAGGTAAGTTAGCACTGTGACGATTTGTGCATTCTATTCTAAGTCCTTTAGGTGCTGTAAGTGTCAAGATAACTACGATGGGGGCCTCCCTGGTGGTGAAGGGGTTAAGTCCCAGCATTATGAAGCTATCAGCAGCCACTGCAGCAAGAGTTCGATCCTTGACCACGGAGGTGAGCCACATGGCACAGGAGTCCTCTCCTGTCTCACCTATTACTTCCCTCAGCAGTGTATTTCAGTCAAATCCACCTGTTCTGCTCCCCACTCTGTCTCTCTGGAGAATCTTCACACTCCCCATACTTCTGGTCTGTACCCCAGTTCTTGTATGCACAAATAAGTACCAAAAAAAAAAAAAAAAGCTATGCTGAAGGTAAGAAGGAAGAAAAGTAAAAGAGAAACAAGAAGGAATGCTTACAAGGCACTTTAATATGAGTACCTGCACTGTGTGTCCAAATGCTACCTCTACTCCTTTGATGCTATGACTATAGTTCCAGCCAACTGAGATACCGCCGGCGGTGAGCTATAACCCCAAAGATAACTGCCAGGAGTTCACAGTAGCCAGGCCACGTATCTGAGACAGGTCACAGCCTCAAAGCCAGATCAATGATCATGGAGTGTGTGGCCAGGTCTGTGGACAATGAGGCTGGTTTCTCCTGGGTACTGCAGAACTATGACAGCTTTAATGAAATGTGTCTCTCTGCAGTATGACAGGTGTCCTGTCTGCACTTTACAAATGTGGAGACAATTTCAGAGACCAGAAGGGCAAGTGAGGTTTCCATAGCTGGCTGGTGGTAAATCTGGAATCCGAGGACAAACACAGCCTCTGCCTGTGACTAGAATGGCTCATCCTGAAAGCCCCCTTGGGCTCCTCCGTGTGAACTGACTGCTATCACGTGGTTACATGCTTTCTCCCTTGTTTTAAAACTTCCATGACCATATTGAAAGAAGTACAGCAGACAGCCTCATATCAAATTGGGTTTTATAATTTTTAACCACTGGTTTGTTTGCCAAGGAACATTTATTATAATTGAACAACAACAACAAAAGTAAAACTATAATAGAAAAAAACTATGGGAAAGTGCTATTTTCACTTTTGATAAACAGGATGGCAATATTACTAACCCTTCTCCCCAACCTCCCAAACTGTTGAAGTTTCCCAAATACATGTATCTGTAGCAAAAGGGGACCCATCAGCAGCCAAAGTTAATGTCCATTTATAAAACATAACAATAAACAATGAACAACCACCTTATTGGAGGATGAGAGTGGGGGGAAAGGGGAGAATAGAGCCACTAGCTTATGGTAGAAGTTACTAGGGCATCAGTGGTGGGGGTGGTACTCAGAGATGTGACGCTACACCCCTCTACACCCCTCGAGTATACAGTGCTGTAAACCACTACTACCTCCATCAAAATAATTTAACTTAAAAACAAGGTAAAATTAATGAAAACAGACTTCAAGATATACTATTAAAAGAAAATTATTGCAGTTTTTAAAAACTAAGGTTGGAAAGGGTGGCTAGCAAATGAGTTTTTCCATTGTTGGTGAAAAAAATAAGTGAATGCTAATACTTATAACTTGGGCAAATACTTATAACTTAATGCATTAGGCTATTATCTAATTTTATGTGTAATATAACTGCTAACTAGCACAATTCAAAACACTGCTTAGCTTAAAAAAAAAGCAGTGTGAAATACCTAAAATTCATAAATTGGCTTACATTTAATTCCTTACTTATTGACATCAGTCCAAATTTGATCCATTAGCAGGCAGAAAATTTTATCGTAAGCATGCCTGTGTTTGCACTTCTCATGCAAGTGCAGACACAGTGCAAAGAAAATGACGAAATGTTTTCCCTATACTATAGCAAAGGAGGATAGTCAAAATAGAGGTCTTTCACATCAAGCAAGAAATCTTTAATAGGAAAACAAGAAAATATTCTTCAGCTAGAATTTCTCTGCGAACTCTGCCAGGCAATGCCATCAGCATGTACACTGCACAGACAGAAAGTCCCGCTGACCCCTTTTTCTTTCTTCCTCTCAGGTTCTCCCTTGCTCTGGGTAGTAATTTCTGGGAGAAAAGACTAATAGCCTGATGGCTGTTTGGATTTCTGCTTCTGTTCTTGCCTGAATTGCACAATCAGGTATCAAGTCAGTTTTTCCTGGAGAATTATGATTAGCAAGGGGTATGGGAGTGCAAAGATTTTCCATTTCTTCATATAGCTACTTCTACTGACACAAGGTTTACAAAAATTTACTTTTGGCCAATAATTGTCTCTGAGTGTGCGGGGGTAATATTTACCTGTATCCCTGGTCAGACTCAGCAGCGTTTTGCTTTGTTTCTCCTCACACGCAGTCAGTCCTGTCAGTGCAGGTGCAGTCGAGCACAGACAGTTAAGAAAAACATAATGGATTCGGGAAAACACATACCTGATTGCACTTGCAGATAAGTGACCATAGGAGCCACTTGCTGAAGAGCTGCTGCGGGAATTATTGAGGATGGTCACCAAGGAGTTGGGAGATGTCCTTATCATGGTCTGAAGGTCAAAGCTATGATCAGACAGTGGTGATATGGACAGTGTGCGTTTTCGGCTCGGCCTAGCTGACAGCCTGGGGCTGGGGAATCTGGTGCCTGTTATATAAACAAAACAGAACTTGATTACCTGCGGTTGGACTCTGTACCTGTTATTTATTGCCACTCGCCTGTGTGGAAGAAGTGAAGGATAAGAAATGGCAACTTGTGGTGACAAGTACCTCTCCTCCCACTTGTGATCTACTGGCTACAATTGAGGAAATTAGGGAGAAATATTTATCTTCCAGGGGCTTACCTCGAGGGAGCTCTGTTTATTAATGTGCAGGCAAAATGATAAATTGCTAAACAAAAGGGAAAGACTTTTATGTGTTATCCCTCTCATTTCTAGTGATTTATGAATCTGACGGCTGCTTAGATATTCCCATCATTAATTCACCACAAGCGACAAAGACAGTGGTTCCCAGTGTCACACAAGCTGCCCTCCCCATCCCATCACACACCGGTGTGAGGCAGTGAACAGAGAGAGAAAAAGTGAATTAAAGTTCCCAAGATAAAAAATTTTAAATGAATTAAATCCTAAGACAAAAAAAAATTCAGCTTAGTTATATTCTCATTTCCCATGATTTCTGTAGTTATCTCGCCCATGGCATACTTAAAGCTTTACTGAAGCAAATGACAAATACATTATCCTAAATTAATGGTTCTCAATTGGGGGCAATTTTGCCCTCAGGGGATGTGTGACAACATCTGGAGACATTCTGGTTATCACACTTCACAGGGGACTACTCATATCAAATGGAGGGTAGGGAGGGGCTAGTGTGCTGATAAATACCCAAAAATGCGTAGGGTAGTCCCCCAATGATGGAAAATTATCTAAGCCCCAAAAGTGCCAAGCTTGAGAAATCCTCCCCTAACCCTCCCCCCTTCCCATATTCTAAGACCATAAGTGCCAAGAAATGTTTAAAATCTTGGGATATGATTTATTTGGTAGATTTTTTTTGAAGATGTGATGGTGGGCCCTGTAAGCATCAGAATGATATTCAGTGCGTACAGTTTGTTTCTCCAGACCTTGCTTCATCAGTCAGACTAACTGGGAGTAATGTTTTCATTATAATTGTTTGCCTTCAAGAAAATTCCACCAATGAAGTTCTAATTTGGAGGTTCATAACTCACACTAACACACACACCAACCCATGTGATCCATTTTTTTTTTTTTTTAATCTCTCTTGGATAGTTAAAAATGGTATGCCCATTTACTTTTAGTTTGGTAAATATGGGAGATTTGAATTTCAGAACATAGCTATAAACATGGCTCACATGTCCACTCCTACCTTTTCTAAGATGACATTTGCGCAATAGTCATCTAAAATGTAGACCATAATCCCATTAAATAAGGAGCAAACCAAACATGATTACTTTCAGTAAAATGGAAGGTTTCTATTTTGCAGCATAGGTATACCTGGTTACAGGTACATGGCAATTCTGTGGTACCCAAATAACTGAAGTAGAAGTAAGTTCTCTTTTTTAGAAAAATTATAAGCTCCTGGTCCCCAGAAAATTCACTAGGAGCATTTTCTTCATCACAGACACATCCTGACATAAAATAACAGCCAACAGTCTTGTGTTTGTAATGAAACAACGGGTACATATGAAAGTCAATATAAACAACAATAACGAAATGTATAAGTAAACTTTATAGTAACTGCAAAATAAACCAAAAGGTATAACTGAAGTCTCAGTATCATCCACATATAAAAACTGGAAAATTGAGTTGAGAGACAAAAATTTGATCACTCAAAATTTCCTTTTAGGCATATTTAAAGTGTGTTTCCTCATTTAGAATAGTTACACTATGAGAATGATTTAGGTTATTCAAGTACACAAATATCATTTCTGAGTTTGTACACATCTTTCAGTGTTTTAACTCAGCATCTTAGTTTTATTATATCTGCTTCGCATATGAATGTTTCACATCAACTCACTATGAGAGGCTTATTTCACACAGAAGCGTCTCAGTGAATAATATATTGCACTTCCAAATACTTCTAAGGCTTATTGTTGACTTCTACAAACTCTTCCCCCAAAACCCCTGCTTTACGTGATTCAGTGATCACTGGCTAAGTCAGAAACAAGACAGTCTAGACAGAGTTGACCTCTGGAGCACCTCCAATTATTTTAACCACTAACTAGATAAAGAGGCCATGTGATGTTCTAAAACACTGGAGACCCCTCACCTCTTCCACCAGCTTTGCAGGTTGGTAACACACCTTGGTACTGTCCCTCCAAGACAGATTCTAATTTAAGTCACTTTTCACTAATAGCATTAATGTAATGGTCAGGAGTCCTTATCTCTAAAATGTTTCTTTTAGGGATTACTTGCTCTCCTATCTTTTAAGGTGCTCATCTGAGATAGGTACTGTGGTTTCTGTCAAGTAAATATTCCTGAAGAGCTGTAATATCAGAGCAGAGTGACCAGAAGGCCAGTAACCACCAACTGGCTCTGCCTTGAGGGTGCACTTTGAATGAAGGAATTTAAAGCTGCTTTATTTTTCCACTGAAAAAGTTTCCTCTATCTAAATTTCTAGGTAGTCTTCAAATGTTCTACTTCACTAAATGCCATTTCAATTATTTTAGAGGGAAGGCATATAGTAAGTACTTTAAACCCCTAAAATATACTCTGCTCAACCACCTAATAACCAGGAAAAGGAAATCAACACTTTGGGTCAGCAACAGGAATCTTTGTGGAGGGGAACTGCTAACACACAAGGTGAGCATTTTCAGAACAGATTAAAGAGAAGTGGCCCAATTCCTCACTGTTCACCCTGCTGCTCCCTTAGATGTAAGCAGATCCTTCTCATTGTTCCAACACAGATATCTCCAATCTGGCTTTCTGTGAATTGTTTTGTTTCTCTATTCTAATAAAAAAAAAAAAATCGGACAAAGAAAAAGGAGGTTTCTTTTTATGTGATGAATGATAGGACATCTAAATTCCTACTTAATGACAATCAATTTACCATATACTCTCACAAATTAAAATTCCTTTAATTAGTTTTTACGAAGTAAAAGGGTAGCTTCATCCTTTATTTAGATAAAACCCGCCACTGCCTGACTAAACACATTCTCATCAAACAGAGGAAGGTAATATGGGCTGACCTTCCAAGGATTCTCTCTTCTTTTAATTCTTTATTTGCAGATTTTAAATAACTAATTTGCATAATAACACTGAACTTTCCCCCCCAACAATCGCTAATTGAAATGTGATTATGATGAATCTGAAATATAAGTTCTCTGTTCTACAAAGCCTAAAAAAAAAAAAAAAAAGAAAAAACCCTACACGTAACTCTTTTACTTTGTGTGTGGTAATGAATGAGACCAATACAAACTGTGTAATATAGCTAAGATAGCTCATGACCCTGTGTGGGCCAATTAGCTTCTCTGTATTCCACCCAAGGGCTGACCCCAATCCCAGCTAGATAGCTGACCACCGTCCACCTCTGTTGCTGAAGAACTCAGACTGTGGATGAAAAAGCACTGCTTCTAGCAAAAAAAAGCAAAGAAACAAAACCCCAAGCATACAAACTCCTCAAAACCATACTGTGCGATCTCCAAAGGGCCCTGGCTTTCAGGGATGTGTAGTTTGTTGTACACTTCACTGATGATGATTCAGGGTCACTTTCTGGCGCCTGGCAAATGGATCTCAAAGAATCTGAATAAATGAGAATTCTTAGATGTTCTGAAATGTGATAATCATAGGCTCATTTGTCTATATGTCTAGATAAGTAACCCAAAGGAATCACCATAGCCTCAAGAGATACAAAAATAAGTAATATGAAATGCATCAAATGATCCTATTTTCTTCTGCCATGAACTAAAAGTAGCTCCTTCTGATAGAGAATTTTTTCCTAGATAAAAGATCTTAGTGAAGTGTAAATTTTAACAAAAGTAAAACTTATATCCTAAAAAAAAATCAATGAAAAAAATAAAAAATCAATTTGTGGAGCATAAAAATCTATGAAACCAAGGAGTGACTATTCTTCATTACATCAATGTAATGAAATGCATTCCCTTATTTTATTATCAAGACAATCAGGACAGGAACATTTTTGGTTATCAAATTATAATCCCCTGCATTTTCCAGTTCATGAGTAAAGAGGGAATACACTAAACAAGTAATTCCAATGTCAGGCGACCATGCACAGAGTAGGTTCACCATCAGTCTGGGCAGATGAATTAGAGAGAGTCCCAAGCCCACAACATGCCGGCCCTATTCATGTCAGAGATGGCAGGACTGTTTGACACAGGTAGGTATGGGGCCCTCTGAGACTTGCGGAGGGATTGAGGGGTGCTGGCCACGAGATGGCACTCAGTGGCCAGCTGACTCGCCCGGTGGGCAACTTCTCATGAATGTCCAGGGGTAGACAAACCCCTCTGGCAGTTGGAACGGGCCCTGTGCAGAATAGAAGAGACCTTGGACATGTGTAGTGGCCGAGAAGTGGCAGGGGCTATGGATGGGGTTTTCTCGCAGCTCTGTGCAGAAAGAAGAATCCAAGGTCTGGCAACTGCTGGATGAGACACAGGCCTGGTGAAAACGTGAAAGCTTTATGGAGGAAGAGTTTCAGAGAGACTGACCACCCAATGCAGAGATGCCAGACTCCTTCTCCAGAAAGCAAGAAAGGGTGATCTGGACTCTAGCCTCACCCTGTGATGGCACAGAAAACATACTCTGCAGCTCATGGCCCCGGGGTTCAGACCACAGATGGCGGAGTTTACCACACATGGCCCTTACACCTAGGTGGAGCTGGTGGCCTTGGGCAAGCAGTTCCATGAGAAACCAGAACCCTCAGCAGCCTGACTGCAGTGTTTGTGGACCTGGAGGTAGATGGAATCATTTGCACAGCACAGGTGATAATAGAAACCGGTCTTCGTGACCCTGCAGCCATTGTTAAAACAGGGGCAATGGAAGAGCCAGCCACTGTATGGCTTGGGTGACCACTCACTCCCTGTTGATTGGGTAATGGCTGTTGAGCAAACAGCATGTGCCAATGTGGGAGATGTGCAAGTCTGTGAGTAAATGACAAACATACGCTGAGACTGTGCAGATACTTTGTGAACAGGAATGTGGCAGGCTGTTTAATGTAAATGTTCATGGCCCTGATGACAAGCGTTTCACAGAAAGAATGAGGGATTTAGGACTGAAAAATGCCCCCTTATGCTCATGATGGTCCCTTATGGTGATTCTTGTGCCCATCAGGGATCCTGAATATGTGTCATCACCACAATGATAGCCAGCTTGGGTGAAGTCAAGAGCCAGAGCTCTCAGAAGTATGAGTAGCTGAAAAACCAAAAAGGATACCAAAAAAAGGCAAGAAAGCTTCTTAAAGTCACCTGTATCTAGATGTGGACAGATCTGGTGAAAACAAGTGTAGATCGCACTAAAATAGACACACAGCCCAATGCATATTCGTCAGAGTTACGGAGACAATGGTGAGGATCAGAGTTCACACCATGAGAAAACAGGATTCTGTGAAGGGGGGTGAGGGGGAGCTGGGAACTCCAGGCCCTCAAGCCTGTGTGTTCTGCTGGAGGACCACTTGCTGCTGACCCTGACCCAGGGGGGGAGGCTCTGTTTGCTTTCGAACAGAGTAACATGAAGGGCAAGGAACCTACCCACAGGGGGCGGGAAGGGAACAGAGGCTACAAGTGGAACTTGCTATGCATGGGTCCCCAACCCACATGCATGTGAAAAGAGTTAGCCTTAGTTCAGGGATCTGCTTGTTACACTGATGGCTGTAGAAGCCAGCATGTCAAGCTAAAAGCAGCGAGACTATCCCTGGAGATTGGGCAATTATCCCCCAAGGAGTAGAAAGTGTAGCTGTCCCCGATCCTGGAGTGCCTCCTGGAGATGAATATGTTCCATGGTTTGTGGCTACAAGCCACAGCTGGAGAGGCTTGCCTTAAGTGTGCTACAGGCAGTGTGTGTGGACCTGCTGAGATCTGCCCATACAACCGTCAGTCTCTAGGCGAGTGACCAATACTAAATGCTATCGACTGCCAGGCACAACAGCAGAGCTGGAGAATGTGGGCACTGTGTGTGTTGCCCATAATCACAATCCCCATAATAGGTTCGTGTGTCTGGAGAAGCCCAACGGGCTCTTGGCATCTAATGGTAAATTACTGGGAGTTGAATAAAGCATCCCTAGTTGCGTGCAGCAAAACCTTCAGTGGCAGGCTTGATGGCTCATGTGAGCCATGAGCTGGGCACATCCTCTTTGTGGCCAATCTAGCCAATGCCTTCTTTTCCATTGCTATAGCACCAGAGAGAGTCAAGAGCAGCTTGCCTTCTCTGGAAAGGCCAGCCACAGACATTCACTGTGCTTGGTGCAGACATGAAATGAGAGGAGCAGGAAAGGGGCCTAGGTTCCATGGAGGCATTATTATATATACCATGCCACTGCTCCCATCCGACTGCAAATGCAGATATCACATTTTGTTTTAAGCCTGGGTTTGGGCGGCAGTAGGGCAACATTTTATTGCCAGCCCTGACTAGGTTGGACCTGGGACAGACTGTGGACTGGGTATGGCCTTGGATAGTGAAGGATTCCTATATGCATTGGACGGGCCTGATGACCACTTGGAGATGCAGCCTGGAGGTTGATTTACAAGCGCCACCATGGTGACTTGGCAGTGGCCACCATGGGCATGTGTTACTCTCGTGACAGATCAGAGGGTAAGAATAATGGGAACATATGTGTTGATTTTGTGGCCTATTATGAGCTCACCTCTCTTGTATATATAGAGCATCTGATGCCTCTTTGCTGGCAAAGTGTGTGTGGTTCTTACAACATGGGAGCTCACTGTTGCCAGCTATGATGTTTTTTGACCAAAAAGTTGGCTTATATACTGCCAGATAAAAGGGCTCTTCCATTGCTGGTGCCAATAACTTTTTTATCTTTTACCACTGGGTTCATGTGCCCAAACACATAAGTGCATTTAGTTGCATTAGTGGTATTCTGATGTATTCAGTTACATTCTGTTACAGTTTGTATTACTTTTGTGTGTACCTTTGTGTGTCCTGGGTACACTGGTCCATATTCGCCAAGGGAAATATGTGGAAGAACAAGGTGTAGATTGCACCAGGAAAAAACCCTAAGGGAGTGAGTTGTACGATAAATGAAGTTACCAGGCTTTTGTCCACGAAAGCAATTAGTATCTATGATGGTACTTGTGATCCTGCACGTGCACCTGTTAATTATGGACACGAGGCCAGAGAGCATGGGGCATGTGCATCTGTAAATGAGGACACCTGTGCCAAGGGGCCAGGGGCTACAAGGGCCACATCGCTGTGAGGTGGGAGGACAGGCCAGAGGAGACAGGCAGAGAAATGCTGAGAGAGAAAGCTGGCCTGTCACCTGATTCAACAGAAAAGGCCTGTAAAAACCTACCAAAGGCTCCAAACTGAAGGAACCTACCTAGTCTGAGATAGATGCAAAATACCCAGGATGGCCAAAGCCATGGACAATTCCTAGAAAACCAAGGGACTCAGAGCATTCAGATATTGATGGTTCCCCCTCCTTCTCTTATCGCAAAGATAGATGATCATCTGCTCATTACCCCTCCTCTTCACTTCACAGCTAACATCTGCCACCCTTAGCCTCATGGCAAACAGCCCCCTCACTTACTATCCATGGCGTGCAGGTACTCCATGTGGATGGCCCCTGCGCCCGCGGTGGCAGCTGAGGGGATGATGTCCGCATAGGGGCTGCGCTGGCCGGCCAGCAGGGCCATCTGATGGTAGTATTCAGCTGGGCTGACTCCAGCATGGGGGGCTAGAAGAGGAGACAGGGAAAGTGTGGGTACTGATTAGAAGGTAACAAGAAGCTTTTTGAGACACATCCCTGTGTCCACCTACCATGTGGCCAATATCCGCAATGCCTTTATGGCCCACTCTAGCAAAGCTTCCTTAACGCAAAGAGTGCTTTTACTAGAATCCAGAAGATATCCTCTACTGAAAATAAGAGTGAAGGAAAAGAACAGGAAAATGAAATACATTATAGATTATTCTGTGTAAACAGCAGTACTCTAGCACTAGATCTGCGTATATTTGAGGTTAAAGAAATTACTAAGAGGACCCTCCCTGGTGGCACAATGGGTTGAAGCACCGCAGACACTGTAACATGAGTTCTATTCCCAACCAGGGAGGTGACCCACAGGGTACAGGGGACCTCTTCTGTCCTGCCCACTGCTCCCCTCAGCAGTGTCTTTTAGTGCATCTGCCTATTCTTCTCCCCACTGTCTCTGGTGAATTCTCTTACCCACCCCCCCCACCTCTGATCTGTATCCCAGTTCTTGTACGCATAAATCAATATTTTTTAAAAATCATCAAGAATTTAAAATGATAAAAATGTATGTGTACATACAACACTATGTTTACCTTCCTTCCTATATCAAACTGGTCTGTGTTCACATTTCTTAACACAGTAGACAACTGTTGATTGCTTTCTGCACACGCTTGAAAGACCTCCCTACCCTTTCTGACTGGAGTATCTGAGACAACACTCACTACCTTGAGGACTGGGGGCTTGCAAATGAAAAAGAGCATAGTTTAATAACACATGATTGAGTGATAAACTGCAATTTTGTGTTCCATAAATTAACAGCGCTTCTTTTTCATTACAAAATCAAAAAGAAAATATACCTATCAATCTGAAACAATTTACGGGCAAGAGTCAGCGCTGCATGAGTTTTAATCACCAGTACCCACCTGCCAATTTAAGTGCACAAGTGGCAAGAGTCCACAGAAGTTCTGAGGGTAATTCCAGATCAGGAAGGTGAGGCAAATCCCAGCTCCCCCTTTCCCTGTGCGGGTGTGTCGAGGTTCACACACAGTGCTTAGCACGTGGCATTCAATCAGTGAAGGTGAATTTTGTGAACACCAGTACTCTAGCATAGGTCTGTGTATGTCTTTCATATGTGTCCATAAAGATATGTGTGTATGTGGAGAGAGAAACATTAGTGACTTGACATTTTTTTTTATCATTATTAATTGGAAACTTGAAGGGAAGGAAGAGGAAAGTAGAAAACACTCAGAGAATGTATAATTATATTGATCATTAAGTACTAAGGAAAGCAGATGACAACTTGCTTTAACTAGAGAGTACACTTTCCACTGGCCCTTTTGAATTTCCATAAGCCAAGTATAATTCCAAGTTGGTGGTTGGCTAGCCTCCCTGGTCCCTCGCTCCCTCTGCCTCATCGTTAGTCATTTCCAGAAACACTCAAGAACTCTACAGAGGTAACTGTCTCCATTCTTTCCATTTTAAAACCAAATCCAAAATATGAGTCCTGCCCAAATGGCAAAACTCACCCCTTGGATACCTTAAAGTTTATTAACCACACTGAATATGAAGGCAAAAACAGAGTCTGCCTCTGTTACTAGAGTACAACTACTCCTGGACTACAAATGCCATTTCTTATAGTCAGCACTGGAAAGTCATCTGATTGGAGAATGGGGACACTGCAGTGTCACATCGAACATTGCTCAGTAAGGTGGAGGGCATGGTGTGTCTCTGTGCTTTTGACACAAGAACCACCAGTTTGTAGTCTTCTACAGAGAACTTTTGTAATTAATATCGCTATGCAATTCTGGACCTTAATTCTGATGCCAGCAATTGTGGGCAAAAGTGGAGTCTGTGTATGTGTGTATGAGATGGGAAATGCTCTCCCATTTCATAACTTGACAGTTGCAAAATAAAGAGTTCCAATTAAAAAGTCATATGAAAAGTAATTAACGGGAAGGCTGAAAGAACCAACAGGAATTTAGCCCTTGAGAACAAAAAATGAGCATCCAGTTATAAGAGAATTAAAATCAAATTTATTTTATTTCTTCATCATAACATCTCTTTCTTCACTTCACAAGGTCAAAGACAGGCATATGCAACAGGTCTGCACCTTCATGTTTTCAGGACCTTGATACTTAAAAGAGTGTGGACCATGGACCGGCATCACTTATGCCACCTGGGAACTTTCCAAAAGCATCCACTCTCGGTTCCTACCCCAACCCCCTCCACAAGGAATCATGCTTTATCACCATCCTGGGTGAGGTTTGCAGACTGGAGCTTGAGAGGGTGCTGCTCTAACAGACCCATCTGTATAAACATGTCTCTCAGAACAGGAAAGTATTCATTGAAAGGTAAGTGAACACACTTTCACACTGCACATGGCTACAGGTTCAGGTTAAACATGCATGGAGCAAAGAACAGGAAGTGGTCAAGAGGAAAGACTCTGGGGTTTCTGAGTTCTGATTTAGGGTTCTACCTCTGCCACTTACAAGCCATGAACCATCTACAAATTAGCTGGCCCCTGTAAGCCTCACTTGAAGATAGAGATAACATTACTACCCAAGGAGGTGCCACTACCCCTGAAATGAAAGCATGCTTTTAAAAAACTTAGCGCAGTGGGCCCTCCCTGGTGGTGCAGCGTGTTAAAGAGCTGCACTACGAAGCTTAAGCCACTTCTGCATGAGTTTGATTCCCGCCTGCTCCAGAGGAAATCCACATGGCGTGGCAGACCTCTCCTGACCCGCACGCTGCTCCCCTCAGCAGTGTGTTTCAGTAGATCAGCCTGTTCTATTTCCCCATTCTGTCTCTGGTGACTCCTCTCCCCACAACCCACACACATCTCTGCCTTGTACCCCACTTCAGTTCGAGTAAATAATTATATCTTAAAAAAAAAAAAAAAAAAAAAACAGCACAGTGTCTGGCCATGGATCATAAACATCAGAGCTACTGATTTCCAAAGCCCAGGTGAGGGCAGGGATGGGAGAAGGGAGGTGGCGTGACATGTGGGGAAGCAGAAGGGGGTTGGTCTGAGACTTACCGTCTGTGGGGCTCAGGCCCCGGGCTGCTGAGATCATGGAGAGGGATGGGCTGCTGTGCAGAGACCGGATGTAGTCCATATAAGGATTGATGTATGGATGTGGAGGGCTGAAGGGGGAGTCTGAAGCTGCAGCAGGGTTCCGGTGTGGGGAGATCCTAATGAAGGGAAGGTCCGAATATGTTGGGCTACTAGATAAGGCAGAAGGCCTAGGTAAAAAAGAAAAGCAAACACAAGAAGCATGTGAGACCAGGATCCCCAGACGCAGAGGCTCACTGTGAACAAAAAGATTTAAAGTGAACTCCAGATATATTAGGGAAAGTTATCAGGGATACACATTTCAGTACTATTACCTTAAAATCATGGTATTACAATACAGGCAGAACCCTACTCTACATTATCTGGGCAAAGAACATTCACCTTTGAGAAATGTTATGGTACACTGAATATAGGATAATAAAGGTCCACCTCTGACTTTCCCGAGAAGAAATTCTAAACAACAGATACCTTAAAGTCACCTCAGGTGAAATGCAGTTGTTTTCAACAAAACAGATAATTTGAAGAACTTTTTTTTTTTTTTTTTTTTTTTGCTATTGCTATATAGCAAAACTAGTCAGAATGATACAAACAAATACTGGATAGCCATATGATTTGAAGTGAAATATTTCAAAACTACTTGGACATCAACAAACCCTATGAGGGCTCTCAGGTAAAGAGGAAGGTGGGGCAGGGACACAAAGATGGTGGCAGGGGGAAATGAGTGAAAATGGAGGAGAATGGCTGGGGCTCTGGTGAAGCATGAAACTGGCTCGCAAACAAGACAAAGGTTAGAATAGCTAAAGGGTAAGTTCTTAAAATACTTAGAAAAGGATCATAAAATGTCACGGAAGCAGACATTTTTGACTTCCCCCATTTCCTGTTAACAGGGATACCCTGGGCCCTAGGTCAGCCCACTGCCGGGTGGCAAGGATGGGAAAAGTTTGCTCTTAAGAAGCTGGAATTGACCTCCCCCGCCTGTCCTCGGCCCGACTCTGCAAATCCAAGACTAAGGAAGAAGATTCACTATCTTCTGTTGTGCTGCAGCAAGGGTGGCAGGGACGAGAACATGGCAAAGGCATAGACTGGAGGCTCAGGGCAAGCGGTACATGCACAGGGAGCAGGAGAGGAAAGTCCCCGCTCATAATCAGCCTGAGAAAGCCGTGAGGGAGGAAGGGAGGAAGGAGGAGCATTTCCCACAAATAAAAAATGACTAATTGCAAAGGGTTGTAAGCAACATGAAATTAAACACTTTCTATAGCACTGCATGGGCTCCACTGCCAGGCAGCTTTCTTTTACACTCATTTTTCAAGTGATGTCCTGATTAGCCAAGTTCAGTGAGCAATCGGTAATTAAGTACTCCTGGGCTGAGAAGTTGGAAAAGAATGGGATTTTGCCCGAGCTGGGTTCTAAGCAGCTGCAGGCGAATGTGAGTGTTGGCTCAGGAGACATGCCATGACCTAACTCTCCCCAGGACCTCATTCTCAAGCCACCGTGAAGGCCCTGTGGACCGTGAAGCCCAAGACACAACTCTGGGAGAAGCCAGTTCCACCAAGTGCACACCACGTTTCTAGAACGACCAGTGTTGGAATCCCCTCTGGCCTCCTTGTAGCTTCTCAAACAGAAAATGTTTTGTGTGGATAATCTAGTGAACTGGCCGCGGCAGGCTAAACAACGTGTGCTCTCCATTCTCCCATTCATGGAGGGCAGAGCCATAAAAAAGAGAGGCTGTGAAAGAGACAGATCTAAGGAGAACTGCAAATTCCTCTTATGCTACAGGCTTAGGAGTGAAATGAAAGAGAGGCAAACACATTTCCTCATCATGTCCCCTAAAGAAAAGCTGCTCTATGGCGGGTGCAGGCCCATCACCCTGTCAGAATATAATCTTGGGGGAAGTCAGTTCCACTAAGTGCACAGCACAGGCACTGAAATAAATGAAACCCAAGATCAGATAAGGAATGTTTTCTTTTTTTTCTCAGTAGAAAATGAGGAGATCGAGGCCTTCCCTGGTGGTGCAAAGGGTTAGGACACAGCACTACAAGCTAGCCACAGCTGCTTCAGTACGAGTTCAATCCCAGGCGCTGGTGCCAGAGGTGACTCACATGGCGCGCAGGTTCTCCAGTCTGGCCTGCTGCTCCCCTCAGCAGTGTACTTCATTGATCTGCCTATTTTGTTCCCCACTGTGTCTCTGGTGAATCCTCTCACCGCCTGTGCACCTCTGGACTGTACCCCAATATTGTATGCATAAATAAGTAAATATTCAAAAATGGCAGGAAGAGAGGTTTTCTTACTTGCTCCTACTTAGTCTTCTTTCAGTTTGAACTTAAAATAAATGAAACTTTAATTCACACATCAACTTTCAATGGAAGTAGAAGTCCAGAATTTTCTAAATTTACATGTGTGAGAGTAAGAATTCACTACCAGAAAGCAGTTATTGTTTATTAAAATAACAATAGCTTACAGTTCCCACTTAAAAATGAATGAAACTACTCAAATTGAAATTGCCATAACCTATCAGTCTATCCTATTTTAAGTTTTACTGTAAAGCAAGTTAGTTCTGGGGCACTGGTTCTACTCCAAGCCCTATTTCAATGTGTTGCTACATTAGAGCACAGGGGATGTTTGAACTCATACACTGATTTCTTAACAGAAAGGAAAATCAATCCTTCCAATCTAACTCAAAAGTCATATGTAAAACTAAAACCAATGGAAACTATTTTTCGATTTTTGAAGATACTGGCACAGCGGAAATGTAGAAAGGTGGACATTTCAGGAAATCCATTAAGTTGATGAGATAAGTGCTCCAAAACCAGCCTGTGTGGCCCACAAGAAACAGTCTCAACAACACGAACTAAGTATCAGTGAAGGCAACGGCATTTCTTGCTGGTTTTTTGAATTGGGCAAAAATCGGAAGCTGTCACTTTTTGAAATTCCACAATGGGGGCGTAGTAAGAATATTCCTAGAAGCCTAGAGTCAACTTTAAAGATTGCTACATGCCTGGACAGCCACATGAACCAGATCAAAAAACCAGAGAGGGTCCACACTTTCTCTTTGCACAAGAGTCTGTGGGCATCTGACCACCTGCATCTTGGCTTCATTTTAATGAGTGATCTTCACAAGAAAACTGAAGGTAATGAGCCTGAGGAAGGAAGGGCCTGGCACATCTTCGTGGCAGGCACACCAGAGCCCTACTCTCCCTTTCACACCTGTAAGAAGCAATGCTAGGAAGGGAGCCCAGGATGTACAAAGTAAAGAAACTTCACTCACTGCTATTCATGTATGGCCCTTCCAGAGGGAAGATGCTGAAGAGAAAGGAGGGCACCTACTTCCAAAGAAGGTGGCTGACACAAGTCTTCAGACACAATGCAAATGAGAAAGCTGTAAACTAATCAACTGCCTTAAAGAAACAAGTCATTTCCTAGTCAAAAACCAGCCAGCCCCAGGATACTGATAGGCAAACATAGGAAGGTTACTTAGTGAGGGTGGTCAAGGTTTCAACAGACAACTAAAACATCAGAGCAGTAGTTGGAGGGAAGGACTTGGTGGTGATGGGGAAATCAATCAGCTGTGTGACCCCCAGCCATGACACCACCTTCTGCCTTGTCCACACTGGGCCTTTACTGAACATACATAGTGAAGATAAGTGAGCACAATACATATAGCCTCATGAGCTGAACCTAGTACCTAAAAAATACATGATATACACATCTGTATCCATAGTAAGCTAATATATTCTACTTCAATATATACTCACATTACAGACAAATATGCATGTGCATGTATACATATATACATAAACATATGTCCACCCATTATTAGTGGCAAATACAGCCTAAACAATTTTTAAACAATTCAATTCAAATCAAATCTCATAATGGAAACACCTTGTGTCCTTTGTCTTCCATACAGAGATGTCCCAAAATCACCTCCTTGGATTTTGTAGGAATCTACCACCCCAGAACAAAACAAAATCATAAAACCACACTAGGTGGTTAAAAACATACACTCAGTAATTAAATTCAAGCTCTTTAAAGGCACGGGATTTGAACCCCAGCTTTGTCACTGACCATCTCTCAGGCACAAGATTCTGTGTGAGTAAATGGAACATGAACAGCTCCTCCCACACAGCTATTTCTGAAAAACCAGCACTGGGCATTCAGTTGAGGTTAGGGTTGGATAGGTGATGTTCTGGCAGGTGATAGAATATCACAGACTCAACTTGTTTGTCTGTGATTCTAAACTCAGCAAATTCATATCCACATGGCAAGACTTTGGAAAATAGTGTCTCACTTTCCTTATTTCAGATCCTTGAATATTAGAGTATTCATCAGTTATTTTGTTTGTAACTATAAAGCAAATCTAAGGGGCTCTCTGGTGGTGCAACAGGTTAAATAGTGCAGCACTGCAAAGCTATCGGGAGCCATTTCTACATGAGTTCAAGCCCTTGGCCTGGAGGTGGCCCACATGGCCTGGCAGACCTCTCCTGATCCACCCGCTGCTCCTCTCAGCAGTGTACTTCATCAGTCTGCTTGTTCTGCTCCCCACTCTGTCTCTGGGGAATGTGCTCACTGCCCCTGTGCCTCTGGCCTGAACCCCAGTTCTATATGCATAAATAACTTTATCTTAAAAACACATATATAAAGCAAATATGAGAAGGAAACACCTTAAATTTAATGGGCAGATGTGTTTACTGATGTTGAGAGAAGTGATTTAAGATGAAGAGCAGAGAGGTAAATATATTGAAGGAAGAAAGGTGGGAGGCGTGGGGAGGCAGCTACAGAGCTCTCCATATACATGACAGAACTTCACTAACCATCATAAATTTGGGCTGGTAAACCTTGGTCAAGCTTCATTTGAGCTTTATAGTAGCACCAAGAAAAATAATATAAGCATCTGTTTCTTGGTTTAAATTTTTAGTAGGAACACACATTAGGACTGAACTGAAGATACTGATGGCTCTCCACATCTTTCACTGCTTTGTAACTTCCCCTTCTCGCTCTGTCTTGGAGCTGCATGTGGTCCTTCACTGAGGAGGAAACAAACCATGAAGAGAAAATCCAAAACAAGGAACATATTCTGGGGAGAATACTGAGGGATTCCATGTTATTAGCAGCCAAAAAATATAGAAATAAGCCTGTAAACCTCCAGATGAAATCACACAAGCTGCTCTAA